CAATAATCAGAGATAAAATAAGGAAAATACCAAGCTACAGTTGATCCTCAATCCAAGAGGAGGATCTATCTCTCCCAATCCCTAGACGTCGCTAGAGCCCAAAAACGACAAGCACCAAGAACCCAAAATCAGCCACAATTATCTCATCCCTAACCCTAATACAAACTCCTACTTAAAGAAAACACAAAAAGACTAAACAACCCTCAAACAATTATCCCTAGGTAGTGGCCCCCACCCCAAGGGGGGAGGAATTGGGAGCCTGCGAATCAGCAGGCTTGCACTTGATGGACTATAGGAGCCGGTCCACAAGTTGGGCCAGCTGGACCGATTCAGGAAGGACCAGTTCAAGCGTATCAATACCCCGCTCCCAAAGAATCACCTTGTCCTCAAGGTAGAAATATGGGAATTGATATTCCACCCTTTCGTAGGGCTCCCATGTAGCGTCATAATCAGAAAGGTCCTTCCAGTTGATCAACACTTCTTTGACCCCTTCTTCTCCCTGGCGTACCCATTGTAGCTTCATGGGTTCCAAAATCACTTCCAAATCTTTAGTCAATGTTGCTGGCAACTCTGAATTGGTTGTGTGATCCCCAAAGCTCTCTCAATTGTAACACATAAAATACTGGGTGGATGGTGGTTATTGAAGGCAACCTCAAATTATACATCACTGTTCCAATTTTCTCTACTATCTTATAAGGGCCGAAATATCTTAGAGTCAGCTTCTTGTTCTTCTTGGAGGTGACTACCCACCGCCTGTAAGGCCTTAGTTTTAAGAACACTCTCCCCAACCTAAAATTGGATGTCCTTCTGATGCTCATCCATCTGTTTCTTCATAATCTGTTGAGCCCTCAACAGATGCTTCTTCAATTCTTCCATTACCATGTCCCTCTGCTCCAAGTATGCTTCTACTGAAAAAACTGGAGTGTTACTCTGCCCAATATACACCAGGTGAGGTAGATCTCTTCCGTACAACACCTTGAATGAGGTCATATGAGAAGCAAAATAGTATGAAGTGTTGTACTAAGATTCTGCCCATGCTTCTATTTTATCTTGGCCCAAAGTCGAAGGGTTTCTAACACAAATCATCGTAGGTATGTCTCCAAGCTTCTATTTATCACCTCCGTCTGCCCATCGGTCTGTGGGTAGTATGCGGTGCTCCTCTTTAGTACTGCCTCCTGCAGTCTGAATAACTCTCTCCAAAAATGGTTGAGGAATACTTTATCCCTGTCGGATACTATAGCCTCCAGTATCCCATGCAGTCTGAGCACCTCTCTGATGAAAGCTGATGCCACTGTCACTGTCGTGTAGGGGTGTCGTAGGGGAATAAAATGAGCATACTTGCTCAGCCTGTCTACTACCACTAGAATCACGGTGAATCCTTCAGATCGAGGCAACTCGTCTATAAAATCCATAGATATCTCCTCCCACACCCAATCTGGTAGAGCTATGGGCTGCAATAATCCTCCTGAAGTCATGGTCATGTATTTATTCCGCTAAGAGACCTCACAATTGGTGACCAACTTCTCCACATCCTTGTGCATCACCTTCCAATATAACTCTGAGGCGAGTCTCATATATGTCTTTTACACCCCTGAATGACCCCCAATAACACTTTCATAGAACTCCTGGAGCAGGTGTGGAATATGAACTGAGGTCCTAGGCATCATAAATCGCCCCCAATACAAAAGCCTCTCCCCTTCTAGAAAATAGCCAAGGTGGCTACTCCCATCCCTCAATAAATCTACCCTAATCCTCCCTTTTTATTCTGATATGTTGGTATCCTGACTTCAGATCTATCTTGGTGAAGATAATTGCCCCACTCAGCTCATCTAACAGCTCATCTATCACTAGGAAAAGAAAACTTGTCTGACATAGTTTCTTTATTCATTGCCTATTAGTCCAAGCAGAACCTCCAACTCCCATCTTTTTTTTTAACCAGTAACACTAGGCTAGAAAAAGGACTCAGATTTGGTCAGATAATCCCTGCTTCCAACATCTCTCTAATCAACCTCTCAATTTCATTCTTCTAAAATTGAGGATAGTATTAGAGTCTAACACTAATGGGTGACACACCTTCCCGCAAGGTAATAACGTGCTCCAACTCCCTTGGCGCTGGGAATCCCTAATGTGGCTAAAAACCTCACTGAACTGCTGAATCAATGGTTGCATTGAAAGAAGAATATCCCCACCTTCCTTCAATCCGATCCCCTCCAGTGTCTGTAGCTCCACCAGATAATATTCTCCCACATCTCCTCACCATAGTTTTAAGTGATAACATAGCTTTGAAGAGCCCAGCATCACCCCTAATAATTACCCTTCCCTTCCACCACCAGCTCCATCATCAATGCTCCCCAGTTGACCTTGGTGTTCTCCAAGGTCTGCAGCCACTTCATTCCCAGAATGACATCAGTGCTCCGTAACTCCAATGGGAGAAAATCCTCCCTCACCTAAACCCCCTGTATAGTCAACACTACTTCCTGACATATCCCCTGGCCCATTTCCACCTTTCGTGTACCCATCATCACTTCATAACACCATGTATCCATCAATATCACCCACAATTGGTCCACGACCTAGTTAGAGATTAAATTGTGTGTAGCCCCGCTGTCAATCAACACCACTACCTCCATGTCTGTTATTCCACTTTTCACCTTCATGGTATGACTCAGAGTCAATCCTACCACTGAGTTCAAGGAGACCTATATCATGTCAAAATGTAGATTGTCCTCCTTTCTCCCTATCTCACTCTCACCTCACTCCTCAGTTTCCTCGTAATCACAGACGGTGAGAACTTGAAGAGTTCGGTCTCTGCACATATGCCCTAGTGTATACTTCTTATCACATCTGAAGCATAATCCCTTCGCCCTCTTCTCCTGCATCTCCCTCTTCATCAGTCTTTTGAAGTTCCCAATACTTCCTCCTCCTATTGGCTTCTCCCTTGGGGTTTTATGAATGTTGCCCGATGCAGGCCCCTTGGGTGGCTAAGAAAATGGTAGTCATCCTATAAGAGCCACCTGAACTACTGCCTCTGACTCCCCTCTCCTGGTAGTTCTGATCCTCCACTTGAGCTAGCTCCATAGCCTCTCCCAAGTTACGAGACCTCATGACCCTCACTGCTTCCCGGATCACTGATTTGAGTCCCTTCATAAAATTCTCCTCCAAAACAATCTCTGATAATCGATCCAATCGACTCGCCAGGTACTCAAATCGCTCGTGATAATTTTTCATTGAGCCTTCATGTACTAGTGTAAAGAACTCATAGTAGTCTCCTCCCCTACCGGTTCGAAAACGTTCAAATAAGCATTCCATGAACTCCCTCGAACTCCATATGAGCCTCCTCAAATCTCTCCACTGGTACCAATCCAATGTCTTCCCTTCCAAACATAAGCCAGCTACCATAAATTTCTCCTCCTTCGTCAACCCATTGGCGATGAAATACCTCTCTACCTTGTAGATCCACCCATGTGCATCATATCTTTCAAAAATGGGCATGGCACATCTTCAGCTTCCGACCTTCGGATCTCCCCCATTTTCCCTAATTCCTCCATAATTTCTCCTTCCCCAAGTGTTTAGTCCTACCCAAGTGTCCCAATCCTCCCTTTCACGCTCATACCCATACCCATCTTCACTTTCTCCCCTCCTACCTTCAAAACCATCACCTCTCCTACCATAATCCTCCTCTTTTCTATCCCAATCAGCACCTCTTGATTCATGCCCCCCATAATCACGCCTCTCTCTATACCTTCCACCTCTCTCCTCTATGATCTCCACATCGTTTACACTTCTATGAATTTCAGAATTCGTATTTCTCCTTACCAAACCTCTTGTCTCTGATGTCGCCATTTGATTTTGATTGTCCAGTATCTTCTTCACCATCTCATGAAGATCGAAACTTTGTCTTTCATGGAGGATATTCTATACTCAACTGTTGCTTTCATTTGGCTCATCTCCCCCTCAAGGCGTTCGTCCAAAGAATCCACTCACTTGGCCGCCATCGATACCCGAATTTTTGTTGGACTCAAAAATCTGGAACTTGGCCCCAAAAACAGTAAAAAAGACCCTCTTCGTACAAAAAACTGCCGCCATATTTCACAAAAACAGCCCAAAAAATGTCTAAAAAACTGCTCTGATACCAATTTGATAAGGAAACACTTGAAGATCTCAAGTGAAAACCTATCAATCTTGAAAAAACAGCAGGAAATATCCACAAAACTCATAGGAAAAACCAAAAAACAGCAATTTATTGCAATAAACAGAGATAACAGAAGGAAAATATGAAGATATAGTTGATCCTCAATCCGAGAGGAGGATTTATCTCTCCCAATCCCTAGACACCGTAAGAGCCCAAAAATGCCAAGCACCAAGAACCCAAAATCAGCCACAATTATCCCATTCCTAACCCTAATACAAACTCCTACTTAAAGCAAACACAAAAATAACACAAAAGGACTAAACAACCTTCAAACAATTAGCCCTAGGTATCACCCCAAGGGGGGCAAGACTGGGAACCTATAGACCAGCAGGCTTGCGCCTGTTGTATTGCAGGAGCCGGCCCACAAGTTGGGCCGACTGGACCGGTCCAGAATGGACGGGTCCAAGCGTAACATTTTCCAAACCCCCCTTATCTTCAGAGAGATTTATAGATAAAAGAGAAGGTCCTATTATGTTTAATACTATGTAGTATGTCCTAACAATATAAATTTGTTTTCATGTGGTAAAGGCACTTCTTATCCTAAAGCAGTACAGAACTCTGAACTCCTTAACTCAACATATTAAATGGCACTAAGTTATATGATGTATAGCCAACTAATAAGACAAACTTCTCCACATCTACTTTCAGAAGAATATGATAAATAAGCATAAGTATTGTTACTTTTTGCAAATTATATTTATATAAATACTACATAACCTAAAAACTTATCGTGCAATTCAATGACATAACATTCTATTTTTTTGGAGTAAATCAGACATGTCGATTTCTAGTTATCTGGTCAGCAAGATAAGTTTGAAACAATTTATTGTGATATATGCTGGTAAAGAATACCTGTTCCTGGTACCCTCAGACAAGCAACCAATTTGGTCTTCTTGTCAATGCATCTGTTAGATGGGTCACATCCTGCTGCTTGAGAGTCAACAGTACGTGGCTTCTTTTCATTTGATCCCTCATCCAAAGTTTCCTTGCTGAGATCACCAGATGCCTTTGGTTCTTCCAAAGGTTTATCCTTTCCCTCATTCAAATTCTTTCCCGTGTCATTGAGAGCATTTGTAGCAATTTCCTCCTGAGATTTGTCATTGTGATGTTTATCCTTCTTCTCGCCATCTCCTTTCACATGATCAGAAGCATTTTTTGTATCATTTATATATACAGCAAGGCTGCTAGTGTCGGGCGTAGGAATTTCTTTGGAGTCAGCCTAAATTCAAAGTACCAGATGACTTGAAAGAGTTAGCGTAGCACAGCTTCAAGATTCAATCAATGTCTGAATTAAATTGCACATCATAAAAAGAGACAATATTCTTTCATAATAATCACTTCAAAAAGACATATCACTACGTATAATAATCCAATTCAAACATTCAAACCTTAATCATAAGTTCGATATGATAAACAGAATGGAAGTAACCACAACCGTGTGATTAGTTCAAGGATAATAAAAGAGTGTTGTGCCAAAGGGATCAGTTAAAAGAATTTCACAAACACTGCTAATAAGCTCAGCAGAGATCTAAAATAGAAGCGATTAGTTCAAGGCATACCTCGGCTGCAACGAGACCAATGAAGAGCATATGCAGCAGAAGAACCGTCAGCAAGAAAACAGCGCCGCCTTTCATCTCTTTTACTCTCTTCTTCTCTATCGGTGATTAGGTTAATATTCCAGAAAAGAAAACCTAAGCTCCATATCAGTCCTGTACCTTACCTAGCAAGATATAAGCAGCCGATAGCAAAAGCAATACCGATTAGCTCGAAAGGCCTAGAGGTACTAACTCTTTTTTTTAAGGAAAATGATAAACCCTAGAATCTGATGCTGGGAGAGGCTTCCCAGAGAACAAAGTGGAGAAAGAGACCCATCTCTCCAAGCGAAATCTATAAGAATGGGCACTATGACAAGCGAGGAAGTAGAAAAGGAAAGCCTTCCAGAAGGAAAGAGGAGTTTAATTGGGCTTGTGTCCAATTTAGCCCCGGGGAGAGAGAAAGTGAGGGAGACGTACAGGGAGGAAGACGCGGGTTGCCGGCCCTCGGCTGGCACTCAAAATATTAAATTTTTTTTTAATCTAAGAATATCAATCCGCCGCTATCTTCCAAAGAACGGGGTGGCTAATTTTTGTCTGATCTAAAAGAGGCACTCATCTCAAAAATCTTTTAGTTCGCACTTGATTGTATCCCGCTTAAGAGACGTTGCGGCTCAAGGAAATCGAGCATGGGTTGGAAGTTCCCAACCGTACTTGCCCACCAATCAAACTAAGTATCAGTGGGTAAATATTTAAAATTATGTATTTAATTTTTATTTCGAACAACATTTTTCTTTTGTTTTAAATAATTTTTTAAGTAAAAAAATTGTTTTACTAAAAATTTTAATATTTTAATATTTGTCTTAAAAATATAATAAGAAAGCTGACTCTATCTTTTTTTTTATATATATATGGGGGTAACAATTTATTAATAGTTATAATTTGATTTGGGTTAATTGGATTTGTCCAGGACCGACATGAAGGTGATTAATAGTATCAAAAAAATCCTCTACAAAATATTTCGACCTGTTTTTCAATCTCTAAAATAAAAAAATAAAAAGATTGAAACAAAAAACATTCATATATCATAATCTCATTTTTTTTAAATATTGAGACATTTATAGGCTTATAAAACTTATTTAGGTTGGCTTAGACTAATTAGTCATATTTCATCACTACTCTACTCTTTATAATGACCTTGTTCTAAAGGTTGGACTTTCTCAAGTTGATTAGATGCAGATGGGCATCTATTCAACAACTTCTTCCAAGCAAGCGCTTGTTATATGCTAAACTAATTCTAAAGCCATGCAAAAAAAAAAGTATTGTGATAATTTGGCAATATGCATCCACCGTTTACGGCGAACAATTATTACGTCCTCCGACCAGATGCAGAGAAACATCCGATCGCAGACAAAATCCCGCTATACCGAGGTGTACCGAGTTTTTTTCGAAAAACTCGGTACACCTCGGTACAACGGAATTTTGCCTGCGACCGAATGTTTCTCTCATTCGGTCGACCGGACCAAATAAAACTTCGTTTATGGCAGGGGCAGAGATAAAATTGGGACATGGGGGCATGGCCCCCACTAGTAAGTCCACAATAAAACTCTAGCTCATACTTAATTATCAAAAAGCCCAAAACAACATCATAATAACATATAACAATAGCCCATAACAAAGGGGACACAATCCTTGGATTCGAACTTAGCTCAGATATTCCATCGGAATTTTTTGATTTTCGGCGGATTTCGGCCGCCAATAATGCGCAATTTTCTATAGTGCCACTGCACATATTCAATTTTGAAAATATCTTGAACCGCATTGAGGAGTCCAACATATATTCCAACCTCAGAACCGAAAAATGACACTTATTTTGTAAATGGCTCAGTCGTCGATGCACATACACCACGAACCATTTTTCTTTGTGTACCAACAGAGCAGGGACAGTGCGGGGGCTCAAATTAGATTGTATTAATTATTTTTGCAATAAGTCTTCCACAATATTTTGTAAAATTTGGTGCTCCTTTGGTTTGATAATGTAGCATTAGGACTGAAATCAATCTGGTGTTATAAGGCACGAAGTGGTGAAAGGTTTGCTGGTAGTTCAGTTGGAGCAACATCAGCGAAGTCATATAATAGTTGTTGTAATTCAGGTGGATAAGATGGATAATTCCTCGTTTTAAAATTTCTACTGCCACATGTGTTTGTAATTTGTTACCTTATGTTGTATAGTCATTGGAGCTCCGACGGAAGGGTACGGTAGTTGCGGGAGTGATGGTTGAAATGCATTTCGGTCTTCAAACTCAAGTTGACAGCTTGTGATAATTAACAAACAGAATTTAGTTCAAGATTGTCCTAAATTGCATCGTTCAAGCCTCCAATGTAATAAGCCACAATTTGATTTGTGGATTCATTAAGATTGTTGTGACGTATTATAAAGATAATTCGATGCAGGGTGGGCAGGTAGCTAGCTCACTATGAAGGTTTTTCCTTAACAAAATAATACTCAACGCCATTTTTTGTCTGATCATCTGCTTAATTGAGGATGATATGAACTGCTGAAGTTTTATATCGGTGTCGTTGAATTAAGAAATCTTCAACTACTTTTACTGCAAATATATATATATATATATATATCGGTGTCGTTGGATTGAAATGGGCATACTTGGACAACTGATGAATGACAACAAAAAAGCAAGTTCTCCGAGATCCATGATATGTTATCCCAAATATTATTGGAAACTTTCAACGATTGCAATATTAGGCCTGTCAAGTTTTTGCATTCTAGTTTAATTTTGTGGATTAGTATATATATTGGGAAAGTTTTGATGAACAATTAAATATTCTTTTTCATTTGGAATAATGGAATTGCGCTACTATGCATGAGATGATTCTTTGGAAGTTGCCATGTCCTGTAATGGGAGTCGACTGGAAATCTACCATTTGTGAAGTCCGCTAGGTAATCAAATTCAGATTTTATTTGGGCAGTTTTTTTGCTATTTTATAAACCTGCTTTTTAGTATCAAAAATTTTAATTTAAAAAATTTTTATACAAAAAAACTGTTTTAGAAAGCAGCAAAGAAGTCATACCAAATAAAATCTCAATTGAGAAAACTATTTTATCACTTCTAAAAAATAAGCCATCCTAGATGAAGTAGGCTTTGATAATGTAGTACTGTATCTGCTAGGATGTTTACTGATAATGATTGTAAGTTGGAAAAATCTTTGTGCACAATTTGAACTTATCTGATAGTGCACGATATGTTATTGAAAACATAATGTATTATTATGATTGCTCAATATGTCTTGATAAAGAAAACAATATTTCTAAAAGTAATTAAAAATAAAAAAAAAAGTGAATAGGTTAATAACGGGAAACTCGAAACGGGGAAACTAAAACGTTTAGAATATTTCAAATTAATTTAGAATAAGATCTATTTATAGCATTAAACTATGTAAATATAATTTTATATTTTTTTAATAATTTATAATTTATAATATAATCGATGGCCAAGATAATTTAAGAAGAAAAAAAAAATGGATGAACATGATTTGCTGGGGAAGGAAACTCAAGCCCCTTTTATAATAGTGTATATATATATATGGCCTAACATCACCACGCTTAAACCAGTGCCACAATACTGCATGTTGAATCAATTATTACTATAAAATAGAGATGCCAATGACACATCAATAGCTTATGGCACCTCTATGCTTCAGAGCACAACGCCGCTACGCTCTAGTTTCAATGGAAATTTTTTTTTTTAACACAATTTATTTTGTTGGGTTCCCACACATCACTCCACAATGAAGGTCTGTGGTCCCTCATACCTTCGTTGCCTGCCCACTACGATCCCTCTGACCTCTGTTGCCCGACAACAATCCCCTCTACTTCAATCGCATGACTTCGACCTCTTAGACCTCTATCAGCCGACTAAATGAACAGGCCAACATTCTTTTTAAGAACATCATAATGTATTATACATAAAGTATATTTGCTACATTTAGCCAAGACCTTCCCTCGAGGAAGGGTATAATTTGAAATCGACTACAAACACTAGGAGCGAGAATCATTTTAGTTGGGCTAGGCCCCACTGTTTTTCCCCTTTTTAAGGTTTTATGTGTAAAAATTTTGGTGTATCTTATAACTCTTGTACCCTCTCACTTATTTGTGTAAGTATTGGATCTTTATATAAAACTAGGATGCTAAACTCTTTATCTCTCTACCATCACCAATGTTTATGCACACAACAAATTTTACATTTTTTCTATAGTGATGTAAGGAAAATTATTTAAAGTATTTGCATTATTTCTTTTGGCATTACTTGATGCATGTACAATCACAACTCATTCTCTTACAATAAGGCTTATAGTATGTTATATAATGATATTGCAAAAGTGAATTTGCATAAAAATATTTTGTTTAAGGTTTAGGGTTATTAAATTTGCCACATTTGTTTGAAATGTTCAAGTTGGTACTCTATTAAGTACTATGGATGCTTACCTACCCATGGTATCTCCATATGTAACTTATGTGTGCTTTAGGGTTCAACATAAGGAATCTCACTTGCATATGCTCTTTAAATGCCTTTTCTTTATTGTTTAATATAAGGAATCTCACTCTCATATGCTCTTTAAATGCCTTTTCTTAGAAAATTTACTTAGAATTTGCACTCCTTTACAATTTTATTAAATAATAGCTTTTATTAAAACATAATCAATTAATTAATACAGAAAATCATGTCAAATATTAAATTAAAATTAATGATATATTAAATTAAAAATTAATGATATATTAAATTAAAAGTTAGGTAAATTAATTATAAAAACTATAACTATAAAGTTAAAATTGAAATAAGAAATTAAAGAAGCTATAACTAAAAAGTTATAATAAAAAAAGTAAAAGTTAGAATTATTATAAAATCAAAATAAAAATTATAAAAAGTTATAATTAAAATAGTAGAAAAAGACTAAAAAGTTATAAAAATTAAAATAAAATATAAGAGAGTTAGAAACATAATTCACTGTAACGATTTCTAAAGGAAAAAAAAATTAAATTTTGTTTTTTAAGAAACCGGAAGATGAAAATCTGGTTTCTTAGCAAACCGTAATTTCATCTTCTGGATTATGTTAAAATCACAGTTAAAGTAGAAACCGGATAATTAAGTTCCGTATTTGATCCTTTTTAAATTATTTTATTAATATCTTCCTTAAGCTCATTTTAATTTAAAATGCGTTCCTTTTTTATAAAATGTCCTTTATTTTATAACTTCTTTTTCTTTTCTTAAAATTAAAGTTATTAAGCGTTGAAGTATTATTTAAATTGACAGACATATAAGAAATATAACTAGAAAAGAATAAAATATAAATTCATAAATAGTAACAATTTCATATCTTTGTACATAAATGAAATGAAAAATTATTAATTATATTCAAATAATGTAAGGTGGGCACTTTATAATACCTAACACAACATTATAATTTAGTCGTTAGACAAAAAATATAATTTGTAAATGACA